TACCACCTAGAAGAATGTTTGACAGGAAGACAATTTGAACCTGGCTGAGGGCCACAGGTCAGTGAAAAGCTGCGGTATTCTTACTCCCTCTGGCCCTTTGAGAGAGATGTTCAGGCCCTGTGTCCCCGTCCCCTTTTTTTGCTAGTTAGACAAGCCCCATAAAATTTCTAAGGCTGTAAATCTTTATGAGAACAAACTGCTTGATATTTCTTCCACAGAGTAGCTAGTGGGTTGAAACCATCAACTTTTTTGTTAGCAGTCAAATGGATTAACCACTGCACTACCAAAATCCTTAAATTGATATAGCTAGAACTAAAGTTATCACTTCCAAAAGTTAAACCCACTAGTAAAGCATCAGTTTTTTATTTTACTAATGTCAGATTCTGAGTTTGGTTATGCTTATAATTATATAATACGGTATTTTTTGTGAAACTGGATGAAGAATACACTGAACTTTCTGGGCTATTTCTGCAATTTCTTTTAAAAAGTCAAAATTATTTTAAAATAAGGATTTATTTTTAAAAAAGGGATGCTATAGGAATAAGGAGAACCTGAAGAAAGAAGAAGAAATATAAGCAAATGTATTTTTAAAAACAGAAAATAGTCAAAATATCAGGGTACCAGTACCAAATCCACTGCTATAAAATTGGCATTACCAATTCATGGCACCATTTTAGATCAGAGTTGGCACCACTATATGACAAACCAGTCATATGGTTTCCAAGGCTGTAAATCTTCACAGAAGCAAACAGTTTCATCTTTCTCTCACAGAGAGACTGGTGGGTTTGAACCACCTACCTTTTGGTTAGTAGCCCAATACTTAATCCACTATGCTATTCAATTTAATCTTTTTGCCATCAAGTCACAGCCAACTACAGTTGGGCCTATAGCAGGTTTTCAAATATATATATTACTTGGGAGGAGATTGCCCATTTTTCTCCCTCAAAGCCAGTGCCAGAGAAATTCAGTCACTGGGTTAGCAGCACAAGGCCACCAGCCCTCCCACTAAGGCACTAAGGCTCCTTATATGAAGTCACAAATAATTTGAAAACAAATGAATGAAATGTATATACTATGCAAATACATATACAAAGGAAGAAGTCTAGAGTATATTAATATCACTCTGGATATAAGATAAAGTAGTGGGCTTCATTAAAGAGACATTTTAAGATGATTAAAAGAGCAATTGATCAAGATAGCACAATGATCATAACTATAAATGTATCTAATAACACAACTTCAAAATAGATAGAATTAAATAGAGAAAAGACAAGAAAGCCATCAGTCATAGTTGGAGATTATAACACTTCCCTCTCAGCAAATAAGAGAACCAGACAAAAATACTGGTAAAGACAGAAGACCTAAATACTAAAAACCACTTTGGCCTTGCTGATATTTTAGGACTATTGGAAATATTCTTTTCCAGTATAAAACTTCTGTTTTGTTTTAACCAAATGTTGTACCATAAACAAAATTCAAACTTTCCTATTACCATTACGTTGAGTCCTGCACACAGCGACTCTTTATCAGGTTTTTGAGGCTATAAATCTTTACAGGAGGAAACTTCTCATCTTTTTCCAGTGAAGCAATTGATGGTTTCAAACCACCCACATTCCAGTTAGCAGCATGACACTGTAAGCTGTATGCCACAAAGGGTTCTTGTACCATAAAGAAAGCCCTTTTTTCTTCTCTTTTTTTATAAAATTGGTTTGTTTACAAATTTTGTATACATTATGTTTCACACTATTCTTCATTCATATTGTGCTTCATACAATTACTCTTATACACCGTGTTTTATTAATCAGTCACTATTGAACCTTGCCCATCATTACCTTGTCTTTTCAACTGGATCCTTCCCATTATTTCCCCTCCTTCCCTCCACACACCAAACTGTGCAACCCTGTGGAGGGCTGAGGATGTGTAAGGGAAAAAGCAAAGCCAGCCTTTTTAATTTAAAAGAATTGAAAGAAAAAAAAAATGCACCCATACCCACAGGGGGTCAAGCTTTACCATTAACCCATTACGTTATGGGGTATTAACCCCATACCACAAACTTGCTGAATTGGGGAAAAAGAGAACATGTTTGCCAAACAAGTTGCTTAATGAAATCTCTTCTACTCAAAATCTACACAAAAACAAACCTAACCCCAGTGAGTCAATACAAATGTATAGTGATCCTATAGGACAAGTTACACCTTCTAATCAAAAGGTCAGCAGTTCAGACCCACTAGCTACTCTAGGGAAGAAAGATATGACAATTTACTTTCCTAATGGTTTATAGGGAGCTCTGGTGGCCTAATGGCAAGAAGCTGCGCTGCAATCCCAAAGGCATGCGGTTCAAGGCCACCAGCTGCTCCGCTGGAGGCAGATGTGCAATCTCCTCCTGTGCAATTGTCTCTGACAACCTGCTGAACAGTCAGCAATGAGTTGGTTCTGACACAATGGCACACAACAACAACAACAAAAACAGAACAAAGTAGGGAGCTTTGGTGGCCTAGTTGTAAGAAACTGCACTGCAACCTCAAAGGCACATGGTTCAAATCCACCAGCTGCTTCATGGGAGAAAGATGAACAATCTCCTCCCATGTGATTTATGGTCTCTGAAAGCCTACAGGAAAGTCAGCTCTGGGTTAGTTCTGACTTAATACACAACCAACAATAGGACAATTTACAACTGATCCTATGGGTTTTCCAAGGCTGTAAATCATTGTTGTTGTGTACCGTTGAGTTGGAGCTGACACATAGCTCATCCTCTGGTGGGTTTTCAGAGGCAGTTAATCACATGGGAGATTGCCTATCCTTCTCCCGTGGAGCAGCTGGTGGCCTCAAACTGCATGTCTTTGGGATTGCAGCACAGCTTCTTTCCACTAGGCCACCAGAACTCCCTATAAATCATTAGGAAAGTAAATTGTTATATCTTTCTTCCCTAGAGCAGCTAGTGAGTTTGAACTGCTGATCTTTTGATTAGAGGCCGAAAGTTCTTCAGAGAACTTAAAAAGGAGAAAGCTTTGGTTGAGGGTGATATATTCATCTATGTACGATTTCTGATACTTACAGACCAATCCATACCATACCTGAGTAGTGTTGAAAAGGCAGAATATGTAGCTGAAGACGATATTGATGCCCTCCTTATTAACTAGCATAAAGTATGCCAGAATCCAGGTAATTCCAAAAACTACTGCAATAGATAAGGTACTAAGAATCTTCTTTATGGATGAGAACTTTTTCGTGCTAGATGAAAGAATGCAAGAAAGAAAATATGGTTCATTTGTAATTTTACTTATTAATATCACTGTTACCCTCCCATTTATAATGCATATTCAACCCCTTCATACACACTCTTCATTTAATAATATCATGCCTCAGGGGGACAAACTGAAGTCACTCTTGAGAGAATTTGACCTAGCAAGTTTTATTTTTAGAACTGTATTGATAACAATGAAGAGAAAGGGAGGCAACCAAATGAACAAAAATGATAGTGATACTTGCATAAAAACTCAGACATACAGAGTTCCTTTAGTACTATTTGCAAGTACCTCTGAAACAAATGACCTGGATAATAGTTAAACCAATGATATCTCCCAAATTCTCCTTTCATCTGGACAACAGTTGAGCCTAGCTAGTAAGAAAACAAAACTGCTTTGAGCACTATACTCTTTAAAGAACCATCAATCTAATTGACAAATCTTTGAAAGATCTGATAGAACGGAAAACAACAGTGAGCTGACTGATGTTAATAAAGGAGGAACAACTCAGAAAAAAACAATGAAGATGGGTGCACAACTCAAAGAATGTAATTAATACCACTAAATTAAACATGCAGAAATTGTCAAATAAAAATACTACTGCAAACAAATTTCACTAAGAATACAGTTTCACTGTTGTTGTTGTTGTTGTTAATGAGTCCGAACCAACTCATGGATGACCTTCCAGCAGGTTTTCAGAGGCTACAAATCACAGAGGATGTTGCCCATATTTTCCCCCACAGAGCAGCTGTTAGATTCAAACTGAACAGCTTTGGTTTGACAACGTAGCTTATTATCCACTAGGCCATCAAAGTTCCCTAACTTACTGGCTACTATTACAGTATCAGCCAGTAGAGCTTTTGGGGGTAGGAGAGCTTCCCTTGCCTGAGGATTGATAAAGGAGAGAAAATGTAGTAAGGTGAAGAGGAATCTTTCCCCGTCTCATATTAAATCTAATAGAGAGCTCTAGTGGCCTAGTGGCAAGAAGCTGCACTGCAATCCCAAAGGCATGCGGTTCGAGGCCACTATGGGAGAAAGATGATCAATCTCCCGCGTGATTAACTGCCTCTGTAAACCCACCAGAGGCCAGATATTGGTTGGTTCCAACTCAACTGTACACAGCAACAACATAATAAATCTAATTTTTCTGACTTATAAAATGGGAATAGAGGAATACTCAACTCTTAGATTTGGGAATAAGAATTGAGAGCAGATACAAAGCACTTACTACTTTATAAGCAAGAGTTCAATAAGCTATTAGGAATAACAGTGATGATGATGATAGTTATGATAACCCATAGTAAAACATTGAGAAGCTGTTTCTTACTCAGAGAAGCTTACATGTATTATTTTTTATTTTATTAGGGCTTCTAGCTAATTTTACTCTCTTACACTATGCATGTTGAAATCTTTAAGAAATTAGGAAACCAGAAATATGTTTCCATAATCTAATCTACTAAATGAAATAATATAAAGCAAGTAATTTAGGCATAATAAAACTTTCAAAATATCACAAAAGAAAAGGAAACTACACTTTAAAACATAAAGCTTTTAATATCTTATTAATAAAAATAAAGTGAAAGTTCTAAGTAAACCTAGATCTACTTGTTGATTGCCATCAAGTAGAGCACAACTCATAGCAACCCTATGAACAAAAAGGCCTCAAGACTTTCTGTAACTATCATCGTTTATCAACGTTCATAGAGTTTCCAAAGGCATGTTGTTAAGGAAGGAAATGCCACTCCTGCTTCTAAACTCACATATTAAATTAATAAATAATAA